AAGAGAGAGAGAGCGGGATAGAGAAAGGTGACCGGAGGCTCCGAGGCTGCCTCTTCTTTACTTGGCCAGCGCTGTGAAGGAAACCTAGCGTCGCCTGTGCGCCGCGAGGAGCGAGGAGAAGGGTACGACGTTCACTAAGTGGCGGGGAGGGGGCACGGTTATGACCAACCATCAAGGGGGCAACGTCGTCATGGTTACCGCGACGACAACAACCCGACTCTGTTCTAAGGGATGTTTTTAAAAGCATATATTTACCTTTGCTCTTTTTTTTTTTTTCTTTTTTCTCTCGCCGATCGCGTGGATGCGATAGGAACGATATTTTTCTCTTTCTTTCGCTCTAAATGTAATCGTTTGATGGCCCGGTTTGTAACATCAAACCGACACTATATACTGCGTCTTGTGGCTTTTCGCTTGAACACTTTAACCACTGGAACAATAATTTTTGAAGAATATATCGTGATCGTATGAAACTCGTACAATTTTTACTTTAACCTGAAGACACACACCATCTCCTCGCTACCTCTGGCCCATAGTTGAAAGCACAGAAGTGGATATAGAGAGAGGGTTTATGCCGTATCTCAGTGTTGAACTTTCAAACCTGGCTTCCCCCCGTTTATCCGCGGGCGTCGAATATGCTCCAAAATGCTCCATGTCAGTGAAATGCCAATGCATGATAGGCGTATCTCGGTGAAATAGCCGTGTTCGCGTCACTTGCCGCACCGGGCCCGACGGCTAACAGAGAGAGCCGGTCGAATCTGTGACTCCGAGTATTTCCGATTCCTTGATCGTTTTATTATACGCCAGGAAGTGCGTCACCAACAAGAAGAATTTCTACCCTCTCGATCAAGGTGTACTTTCAGACATCTCGATCATTTGCCCTTTTCACGAATTTTTGCTTGTTCGTCGTTTATCTCTTACACCGTGCAATCGGAATATCTTTCACGGATTTCAATAATTCATTTATCGTAAGAATGTACGGGAATCTACGCGTAATGTGCTGCATTTCTATGTATCTTTCATGACAGTTTACACAAATTTCGTTGCGGTAGAACGTGTGGCACGATCAGGGAAAGCGTTCGCACGCATCCGACGGATAGCAGCAGCGCAATAGGGGTTCCGCAAACTACCAAATCGAGCTCGACGATGTTTCGCGTTCCTAGAAACATTTTCGTCGCGTCGATTTCTAATTCGGTGTTACCCGTAGAACCCGTGTAAAAGTATCTTTTACCAGTGACAGATAGTGCTTGGTACTGTTACATAAGTAGGATATTTTTTCCGATACGGTCGACCGATCGATCGGCTAAAACCGACGCGTAATCCCATAGACGGACATGGTCAAGAAATCAATGCATTATTTACACAAGATGAGCAACATTTTCTTACAATATTACCAATAAACCCGTCACAATACCGAAAATCACTTTTCGTAAACCTTAAGCAGATCAAAAACATTCGTCATTATCTTACACCTTTATTTATCTCTATTCAACCTTAACTTGACCACCGTAGTTTCACGAATCGATCGCGTCAGAATGATCAGCAGTACGAGCCTACCATCGTTAAACGTATACCACACAAACATATCAGAACGGTTTACATAAAAGACTTACCCTAGATTGTTCGAACTACGCTCGCTCATCTTATACTCGAACTACAACCTGCAAGTATCAACTTTAAACCAGTGTTACCAATCTACTCGCGGTAAAATCCGACAAACGCGTGTCGAATTCGCGAACGGTCCGTACGTACGAAGAAGTTTCGTTTAGCGGGAAATCGGGGCGTATAAAGATCTGGCTCGCGGAAGATTTTTCACCGGGCAAAGGACAAAGACTGGTCGCAACGAGGGAACCGGCGTGTGCCGCGAGCACCGCCGGCATAAAGCGAGTCCAAGTTTCCCTCCCCGTATACCCTCCTTGGTCGGTCTGGCCTCCAGCAGCTCCTCCTCCGCCTCCTCGTCCTCCTGCGGCGCATCGAGCCGCTCACCCACCATCACGGGCCATTAACGAGAGAGTTATCGACGCGCGATCTGTCAATAGGCTTCTCCCATTCATAAATTCGCCCGGCGTGTGGCGGTCGCATAGTTTTGCCGCGAAAACCACGTGGCGGCGGCGGCGCGCAACGTCCTCTCCGCCGTTGCACCGCAACGAGCCGAGCCGAGGCTCTACTACGTGATTTACGGGCCGCGTCCCCGTTTTAAATGCATGCAGAGCAACCGTGCGTGTGCACCTCTCTCTCTCTCTCTCTCTCTCTCTCGGTGCAACGCGCTCGTTCCTTCGGTGTGTGCGTATGTGCATGCACATTCGTGTCCGCGAATAGCGTGGGAGTCGAATGCCTCCGGAGAACCCGGTCGCACGCGCTTTTTCGACCGAACCGTCTGTAGAGTGTGTAGGTTTAACAGAGTTTGTCCTTTAACGTGGAGAACGCGTTACATGGGGAGTGGTACGTTGCGGTTCGGTATCGTTTGAATAGGTTGCTTGGATTTTACGCAAAGGTTAATTCTTGCTTAATATGTATGGTAGATACTTGGTTACTCAAGTTGGGCTTGCTATAGGGAAAAATTGAAGCTTGTAGGAAAATCGAAGTGAAATTTGAAAAAGGGGTCGAATCAAATCCTTTTTAACACGTTGACTGCCACGTTGGTCGTCAGTGGCCAGAGTGTTTCAAATGTTTAGAATAATTCAAATAAACTGAATATCGTCAACTAAAAACTTCGAACATCACAGCTAACTAGACATTATTTTGAATTCAAAAGAATAATAACAAAGCATAATATGATATCACGTTTGGAATAATGAAAATTTTCTTGTGGCCTCCTGAGAGAGCATCGTGTAAATCCGGCGTGGCAGTCGACGTGTTAATATTTTTGTATTAGATCATTCTCATTTACTGATAGGGTGCGTTGCTTATTACATAACCGATGGAATAGGATCAATTTGATATTTTGAATTGATTATTAGAGGAGTGTGATGATGATGATAGATAAATGATTCCAATGAATCGTTGGGACA